TTTTTCTTAGTTTTTTAAATTGAAAACAATCTCTCTCCAAAAAAAAAAAAACCTTATCCAACATTTTCTCTTCCGCTTCACATCATCGTCTCCTCAATCTCCCTAAATTTTCCGTCATGCAACTTTCTTCAAACATTAAAAACATCAAAACCAAACCTTAAAAACATCAAAATGCACCACTAACTAAACCAAAAATGGCGTTCCACAACAGCACTTTGAAACTATCACCAGAACTCCATTTCAGCAATTCATCATCACCATTCTCACTCTTCAACGTTTCTCGCTCCTCTTACAATCTCTTTCTCTCTCATCCCAAATCCTCATTTCCTACTATCACTTTCTCTTCTCTCAAAACCACCCATAATTCATCTCCCAATCCTAACACCAATCAAACACCTCCTTGGCTCACCAAAACCAATTCTCCCAAAAGGGTCTCTGAATCTACCATCAAACAAGAATCTTCTCAAGTACAATCTCATCAACCCACAACCCCTGTTGAAAGAATTGTTTTACGGTTGAGAAACCTAGGGTTAGCCGAAGAAGAAGATGAACAACAAGAAGAACAACGAGAAGAGGAAGTTAAATTGAGTGACTTAACTGTTACTGGAGATGAAAAATTGAGTGAGTTATTGAAGAGAAAATGGGTTCGTCCTGATGTTTTGTTGGATGAGGAGAATGAGGATGGAGAAGAGAAGCTGGTGGTTCCATGGAAGAGAGAGGAAGAAAGGGAAATGGGTGGTGGTGGTGGTGAGGTTGAAGAAGAGGGGTTGAAGAAGAGGACATTAAAGGCTCCATCTTTGGCTGAATTGACACTTGAGGATGAGTTGTTGAGGAGGTTGAGGAGAGAGGGAATGCGTGTTAGGGTGAGGGTTAGTGTTCCAAAAGCTGGACTTACACAAGAGGTTATGGAGAAGATTCATGAGAGATGGAGGAAAGAGGAGTTGGTTAGACTTAAGTTTCATGAGGAACTTGCTAAGAATATGAGGATTGCTCATCAGATTGTTGAGGTCTCTTTCTTTGCCCTTGTTTTGCTTTTTTACTTTATTTTACTTTCCTTCACTTTGCTTGTTATTATCATATTTTTTTGACATTACCTATGTTTTTGACATTAGAGTGTCAATGTGTTGTGTCGTGTCATGAGTCTGTATTAGATATTGTGCTTCATAGCTAAATGAGGTTTTGGTATCAAATAACTTGAGAGATGTCAACGTCTCTGTCTCGTGTCAGGAGTCCGTGTTAGAGATTGTGCTTCATAGCTAAATAAGGTTTTGGTATTGAATAACTTGAGAGATGTCAATGTGCCTGAGTCGTGTCAGGGGTCTGTGTTAGAGATTGTGCTTCATAGCTAAATAAGGTTTTGGTATTGAATAACTTGAGAGATGTCAATGTGTCTGTCGTTTTAGGGGTCCGTGTTAGAGATTGTGCTTCATAGCTAAATAAGGTTTAGTATTGAATAACTTGAGTGATTAACTCTCAGCTTGATATTGTTTATTTATAATGACTCTGTACAAAAAGTAAGTATCTCTTAATTAAGGGAATAATCAAGTGTTGTCAATTGCAGATAGCGGTTTGTTAAAATTCTTTGTAATAGTGTTATAGCAGCTATTTGACAATATTTTGTATTAAATAGCATATCGTGGAACAATAGTGGTTTGTCTAAATTTCTCTACGCTATAGCGGTATAACGCCGCTGTGATTTCGTGCTTGAATGTTGAACACTGTTGTTTGCTTTAGTTGTCGACTTGAAGAACATGTCAACTGACTTGTTGTAGTGTGCAGCGGCGTACAGGAGGATTGGTTACATGGAAAGCAGGAAGTGTTATGATGGTGTACCGAGGTAAAAATTACCAAGGTCCTGCCTCCCCGAAGGAACTCGATGTGAGAGAAGGGGATGGCTTTTTTGTGCCGGATGTCTTATCAGTAGGTTTGTCGAAAACAAAAGACAGTAAAGTAACCCCATCACTCGAAAACAGTGAGTCGGTTAGGAGGACCATCAAACAGCCTGAGAACATGACAAAAGAGGAAGCAGAGTACAATGCGCTGCTTGATGGTTTAGGTCCTCGATTTGTTGAATGGTGGGGTACTGGAATACCTCCTGTTGATGCTGACTTACTTCCGCGTGTCGTTCCTGGTTATAAAACACCTTATAGGCTTTTACCTGTCGGAATGCGTTCTCGGCTAACAAGTGCAGAAATGACCGATTTGAGGCAAATTGCAAAGTCACTTCCTAGTCATTTTGCCTTAGGTAAAGTTCATTCGCCGCAACGTTTTATTAAAGTTAATTTTTCTTTATTACTTAATAACTTTTTCATGTACTTTATGAAGGGAGAAATCGAAATCACCAAGGCCTAGCATGTGCTATTCTTAAGCTTTGGGAGAAGAGTTTAATCGCAAAGATTGCTGTTAAACCCGGTATCCAGAACACAAACAATAAACTAATGGCCGACGAACTTAGAGTATGGTTTCGTAATTTGACAATTATTTGCTAATTTATTTTTTATAATAATATTCATATTCTTGTGTTGTTTAGACATTGTAATGCTAGAACAAGAACAAAGCATTAGTTATTGTTAATTTAAGTTTCGGAAATGTGATCTCAATTTTCTGTTATTGCGCAGACATTGACCGGAGGTACCTTGCTGCTAAGGAATAAATTTTACATTGTCATATATCGTGGGAAGGACTTTGTTCCAACAGACGTGGCTGCAGTTTTGGCTGAAAGACAGGAATTGACGAAACAGGTACAGGATGTTGAAGAGAATATGCGGTGCAGAGCCGTTGTTGCAACTCCATCTGGACAAGGTGAAACAACAGCACCGGCAGGATCTTTAGCAGAGTTCTATGAGGCCCAGGCTCGTTGGGGAAGGGACGTATCTAGTGAAGAGCAGGAGAGGATGGTAGAAGAAGATAGCAAAGCTAAAAATGTTAAGCTTGTCAAACAAATTGAGCGCAGAGTCTCTCTTGTAAGTATCTACACGTTTTATGAAGATATTCAAACACTGCTACGCTCTAAACTGCGTATCGCGGAACAATAGCGATTTGTTCAAATTCTTTATTGCTATAATGCAATAACCCCACTATAGCCGATATTTGACAACATTGTGCATTATTGGATATACGCGTTGTTATTAGAGTAGTCCGTGCTATAGCGCCGCTGTATGTTTTTCCGTAAATAGTTATGTTTTTATTTTTACCACTTTAATGCGTGAATAGGCCGGGACCAAATTGCATAGAGCCGAAAAGCTGTTAGCCAAAATAGAGTCATCCATGGTTACAGCTGGTCCTGATTACGACCAGGAAATAATCACAGACGAAGAACGCGTTGTGTTACGCCGGATTGGTTTAAGAATGAAGCCATACTTACCACTTGGTGAGTAATTTTCATTCATTCAAAATTTTCTTTATTCCCCAACCATGCAATATTGACTTGATTTATGAAAATCTCCAGGTATACGTGGTGTTTTTGACGGTGTCATTGAGAACATGCATTTGCATTGGAAACATCGAGAACTTGTAAAATTAATAACAAAGCAAAAAACTCTTGCTTTTGTCGAAGACACGGCAAGGTTACTTGAATACGAGAGTGGTGGAATACTCGTGGCAATAGAGAGAGTTTCTAAAGGATTTGCTCTTATTTACTATCGCGGTAAAAACTATAAGCGGCCCATTACTTTAAGGCCTAGAAACCTTCTAACAAAGGCAAAGGCATTGAAGCGTTCTGTAGCCATGCAACGCCATCAGGTTCTTGTTTTCTAATTGAAAAATTACTAATCGATTTATGATCCCGTATGTCTGCGACGACGAACATTTTATCTTGCATGAACTGTGCAGGCTTTGAGCAACCATATTACAGAATTGCAAACAACAATTGAACAAATGAAACAAGAACTCGTAAGTATCAACTACAACTTCTAAAATCATCAAGTGGCTCCGAAATTTGTTTCAAGTTATTCATATTTCACGCTACTTGTATAATTGCGAAGATAATATCTACACTCAACCTATTAACAAGTCAATATCGTGTTTTCTCTATCGTCCCTATATTTGCTTGTTGAATTTAATCTTTTTAAATGATTTAGGGTCTATCTGAAGATGGTTGGAGCATGAAGGAAGGGCATGAAAACCAATTAGATCAAATCTCAGAATTGGCGGACGTGAGATCTTCTCCCCTTACTTTGATCTAAAATCTCAAAACTTCAAACACTTTTCATTACAATGAAAGTTAATTTGTTTAGCTGTTGTTATTTTCAGAGTGAAGATGATGAAGATTCTGATGGTTTTGATGATGAGGAAGACGCTGATTGGGATGAAGACGAGGACTTGAGTTTTCAGAACTCGACGTCGACGGGCATCCTTGAAGACTAGTTGGCATATTTTCCTTGAAGTTTCATGATAACAGCTGCTATTACTTGCAAGCTAGATATGTACTCACAACTAGTTTTCAAAAGTATGCACCGGTTAACAGAAAAACCGTCTCCTCGGCTACGATTCTGACGCTTTACAGTAATCAAAAGGCAGGCTTACTTACAGCAACTTGAATGGCTCTTAGATTTACAGATTCTTAGAACTGAAAAACACGGAGTTCGATTTATTGACAGTTCTACAAAGATGTGCCTACAGCAGCAAAATCTCATCATCAATTAAATTGCCTTATCGTTCCTAGTTTTTCATTTGAGTAGCACTTAAACTTTCACTTCTCTTTCAATATAGAAGGCTAGATGAGTTTTGAGTAACATGATGGACAAACAAACACTAATGCTGCATACTGAACTCTGCTTCTCATTGTAAAATTTTCTTCACATTGTACTAAATGCGACCATAATGTAATGAATAAGAGTCACAATGTTACACACTTTGTTCACTCCGCTTTTTTGTTATTAAACTCTGCCATTCCGGCCGTTATCTCGGCACGGAGCAGGCACAGAACAGCAAAACCAAACATAGATAATCAGATACCATAAACTGAAGTAGCTGTGAAAAACTATTACAAAACAAGACACTCAAACTTTATTCTTTGTGTTGCTATGATCATTAAGCCAAGATATGATATCATCAAGCACATGAAATATAACTTCATCAGGTTCACCTTCAAGTAAAGTGTGGAAAGCATCTTTATAGAGACAGAGCTTCTTGTCTTTCACTTTAGCTTTTTCATATAAGGCTTTGCTAGCTGATGGATCTGTTATTACATCAGCTTCTCCATGCATGATCAACAATGGTAGAGAAACCTAAACATTTCAGTTTCTTTTAGTTTGCTTCATTCAAAAAGTTGAGCAAAAGTTGTTAAAAAAGTGATTAATTTAAGATGAAATTTTTTACTTCTTCTAGTCTTTGTTCAAGCTCTTGAGTAGCTTTAAGCAACTCCAATGCAGTTCCTAGTCTTGGTTTATCCTTGTAGAGCAACACATTATATGGAGCCTACAAAAATATAATCAAAATTTGAACAAAAAAAAATAGATTATTTTTATGTATTCAACTTCAATGTAATTCAAATTTGCATGAAAACTCACCATTTTTCTCTTTTTCAAATCTCTATATATGTTCTCTTTCACTTCTTCCTTTTGTGGAACTAGCTTAGTTTTGGGAAGAACCTTAGCTACACCAATTAGTATTTGCTTCACCAACCAATGTGGAATCATATCTTCTGCAAACTACTCAAATAGTATAATTCAGATACATCAGTTATTCAATAAATTTAAAAACTTAACTATATCAGTCTCTGAGAAGATAGATACCTTGCACAAAGGTGCGATAAGAGCGGCACCATCCCAACCATTAGGCTGTTTGAAGTGAACTTTCAAAGCAACTGCTCCTCCCATAGATTCACCTAACAAGAACCTTGGAAGATGCTGGTACTCCACTTGTTCTATGGTTATATAATTAATTCAAATTCACTATAATTAATCATATATATAATAAAGAAAATAAAATTATATATTGTTAATGTTACCCTTTATTTTTGAGAAATGTTCAACGACATCATCCACAAGATTTTCAAAGCTAGGAATATAGCCATGAAGACCATCAGAAAGACCAAATCCAGGGTAATCTAAAGCAAATACTCCAAATCCAGATGATGCTAATTTTCTTGCAACTCCTAATAAAAAAATAACATAAATAATTATCTTTTTTATTTTTCTTCTTAAATAAAAAAAATTAAAATTTTTATTTATTTATTATTATAGCTTTTGTTTACATGCCTTCAAAGTAAAATGTGCAAGTGTCTGCATAGCCATGGCAAAAACAAACAATTGCTTTCAATGGTGATTTTTCTGGTAGCCAGCTTTTAGAAAATACTTCTAATCCTCTTGAGTTCACTTCATAAACCTGTGAATAAAATATTAATTAATTGATTTTGAATTTATTAATTTATTAGTATTTATGTGATTCTCTATAACTAAGAGATTAAATTAAAAATGTTAGAAGAGTTCTTTACCTCTTCCATCTTCACTCCATCAGCAGGAAACTGTAGAAAATTTCAAGAAATTAACTAATGCTCTCTGTTTTGAAATTTATTATATGACATAAAAATATGAGCATCAAAAAAGGTTCAATCAAGACCAATGTATTCACAAGTTTCAATCTGAAATTGTAATTTCTTCTTTCTATTTTATGAAATTAAATTAAATTTCATCAATCTAAAGTATCCATAGATAAATAGTTTTTTTCCTAGAAAGATATTCCACAATCCAAAAATCTCTATAAACTAAAATGTCACACTATTTTTTAATATTATCATACATGAGTATTTTTTGATATTCAAATATTTGCTTTAATAAAACACAAAAAAATAAAATAAAAATTAAAAAACTCTTTAAAAAGGACAATTGCACTCTTTCTAAAACTTGAAATCTTGAACGTCCAATTTTTTAAAACTTGAAACATAACTATTTCGAGTCTATTCCACCCGACAAAATCAAAAATCAAATAAAAATCTCAAAAAAAAGAAGGTATAACGTAGTGTCAAAGACCAAATCGTGTTAGTATATATTTATACTCTTTTTAATAGTTAAACCAGCTCCGACTTCTTTTTAATTTTTAACTCAATTGTTGACAAAATTAGAAACTAAATAAAAAGCTCAAAAATAAATGACCTGAAATAAGCAATGATCAATGGCAAGTTGAATATCTTTAAAAGCCTCACGAACAAGTCTTCTTGCAGGTGCTTCATCCATATTAGACAAATAAATACTTTGCAACTCCTCACTCATTTCTTCAAACTCTTCTATTTCTCCAATCATTCTTTCTATAAATAAAGAATGTATAATAATAATTGATAATGTAATCAAAATCATAAATAATAGAAACATTATAACATGTAACAAGTTGAAGAATTAGAGGAAAGAAATAAGTGTTCCTCACTTTAGTAGTAAAGTGAAATGATAGAACTTGGAGATAGTGATGTGTAATGTTACTAGTACTAGTAGTTAGAGTAACATCTATATATATATATATATATATATATATATATATATATATATATATATATATATATATATATATATATATATATATATATATATATATATATATATATATATATATATATATATATATATATATATATATATATATGAGTTTGGTTTCAAAATTAAATTACAAGTGGATGGTAGTTAATGTTTTCTCACCTTATACATTTATTATAGGGTTATCTACTTTACCTTTTTTAATACAATGTCTTCAATTTGACTGTGTTTTCTATACTATCCTTAAAAGATGGAATCTCACTACAATTACTAAATCAAGTCTAACCAATTTGTACTCTATTTTGAGTACTTGCCTTGTTTTTATTAAATTACACTTATTTATAACTATATTTTTAAAGAGTTTGGTTTGTATTTATTGATAGTGATTTTTTATTTTTTATTTTATATTTTTTACATTTACATAAATAGATTTCGTAGAGAATATGTTAAGAATTAACATAAGTTGAATTATAATTATATACAATAATGTGTAAACAAATTGATGAATGTATTTTTAGAATTGTTTATATTGTTGTATGAAGATGAAATAAATAAGCACATATGACCATAATTTGGAGCTGAAATAATAAGGAACAAACAAGTGCATATGACCATAAATTGGAGCTTTATTATTATGGGAACAATAACTACAATAAAATAATTGGATGATTTGTTGGATGTTATTTTAAATGATATTGATGATAAATAGTGTAGTTAAAAACTGTCATGTTAAATGTTGATGGGTCATTCTAGAATAAGTTTTTATTTGTTAAAATTATATGTGCTTATAATTTATAAACATAAAAATAAATTTATTAATTCATTAATTTAGTCTTTGATCTATTATTATTATTATTATTATTATTATTATTATTATTATTATTATTATTATTATTATTATTATTATTATTATTATTATTATTATTATTATTATTATTATTATTATTATTATTATTATTAATTATATGTATTTATTTTTAAAATATAATAAAAATGAAATAAAAAAAATACAAAATTGTTTAATCAAAAAAATTAATTATTTTTGAATATATAATAAACCAGTGCCTATAATTTTTTTATGTATATATAAATATTTGAATCAACACTATATATATTTTCTTATATAAATATTATTTTTGTTTTAGAATTATTTATAAAAGTGTTAGAATCAATGTTTATAAAAAACAAGTTATGATTGGGTCAAATTTGGTTTTTATAGTTGATGAATTACATCAAAAATTATTAATAACAACAAAAATGTTAAATTGACAAATAAAAAACATATATTAAGTATTAAAATTCTCATAAGCCATTAAAACATATAAAAAAGTTGATAATAACAATTTAAAGTAAACATTTGAAAATAAAAATTATTTTAATAACCATCAAAATCCAATTTTATATTATATTAAATTATTAAAAATTTATAATAAAAGAAAGACAAAATTGATTAAGCAAAATAGCTTATTATTTTTAAAAGAGATATAAATTCATGCCTATAATTATTTACATATGTAAAAACATTTTAATCAACAATATATATTTTTTCTGTATATAAATATTATTTTTAATTTAACATTACTTATACAAATATTTGAATAAAAAATCAACGTGTTTCCATCTATAAATTTTTATTTAAAGCTTTTTTTTTAGATCTATTTTATAAAAATAACCAAACTCATTAAAATCAATTAAAGATACATTTATTAAAATTTTAAAGTATACATGTTTTTTAATCATTCATTTATTTCTATTTTATTATAAAATGATTTTTTTAAATAAAAATTCTAATTTTTAAATTTAGTTTAATTTTTTGTTTTCCTTTAATACTCTTATAAATTGAAATTATTATTATAATAAATATGATATAATATAAAAGGTATAAAATGTATTAATATTTTATCATAAATGTCAAATTGTAATATTATTAATTATATTTTAATAAATAATATTTATAATTACAATTATTTTATATTAAAAATAATTATTTCATAAAATGTGATTATGCTTAACATCGTTGATGAAAAGTTCGTTTTTACTCATTTTATTGACTTTTAAAAAAAAGTGTGCCTAATGAGACAATAAAAACAAAATAGAAAAATATTAAAAAGTTTAATTAATATTTTTTTATCAGTAATGTATTACCGTAACTTACAAAATAAGAGATCAATAAAAATAAATAAATATTAAAAATAAATAATATATTCTAAAATATAAAAATGTACAACATAATATTACAAATGTACAAAATATTATAAATAATAATATATACCAATTTGATGCAAATTGCATATAAAGTTATTTAAGTGATAATCAATTACAGTTACAAACTTAAAAATAGAATAATTATTAAAATATAAATTTGTTTTCTTATAATATTTATGTTCTGTTTTTATGCAAAACTATCAATATTTTCAATGATAATAACATATTTACTATTATATTATGTTGCAAAAAATAATATTAAAAATCTTTAATTGAAAGCTTTAATAATTAAAAAGAAAAACAGTACTATAAAAGTTGTTAGGACAAGTAAAAACGTATGTTACATATCAACTTAAAAATAAATATTAGTTTTTATGTATAATAATAAATAAATTTTATTAACATACTAAAATCAACCAACAATTTTAAAATGCTTAATAAAATGAAAGAAAAAAATCTTAATAAAAGAAAATTCAAATTATTTTATAATTCTCCTTTTGTTTACTAAAAAAAGAAAAAAGAAAATAAAAAGTATAAAGAAAAACAGTAAATCATTAAAGTATTTGATTGTCACATCATATTAGTTATTATTATCTAAAGATAATTTTATATTTGGAAAAACATTAAATTTATTTAAATGTTATAATATTCCTTAATAATATTGGGATAATTCATTGACTCTCCAATACTATAATATTTAATAAACAATTGGAGGGGAAAATGATTTAAAATGACTTTTTATCTAAAATAAACAACCTAAAATTTAATGATCATAAAACTGTTCATATCTCCATAGCAGAAAACAAAAGATCATGGAGAAAATTCACACATCTATTTTTCCATTTCTCTTGATGCTACACATTTATTATAAAAATTAAAATTTTCTTCATTAAATATATTTTAATTTTTGATATGGATAAAATGAAAAGTGAAAGGAACAACTCATAAAATTATTAGTTTTTTTCTTTTAAGAAACTAACAAATTATCATGCTATTAGCAATTCAAAATATGAAACTTTTACACACAACACATCCATTTTTATTTGTTTACACACAACACATCCATTTTTATTTGTTTTTACCATATTCTTTTTTATTTCTATTTTATAAAATAGAGAGAGTTAATTTACTTTACTCTCAAAACTCACCAACACAACCACTTTTATTTAGATATTTTAAAAGAAAAGATGTTAAAAAAAATCATAACAGGTTTAATTTAAAATTAATTATGCATTTTTAGTAAAAATCACCATTTAATATATATATATATATATATATATATATATATATATATATATATATATATATATATATATATATATATATATATATATATATATATATATATATATATATATATATATTCATTTTTAACATTTTAGTTTTATTTCTTTCTTATTAGATTTGGTGTCTAATGGGTATTTTCTGATAATCGAGATGATATTCTCTTATATTAATTTTTCATTCATTTTTTAAGTTTCCTTTGATCATTATGAAGAAGACTAGAAGACTATTCAATACAACACTATCATCTATGTGAATGCATCTGTAATGACAGAAGAGAATCAATAATTGCTGTAATAGATTTATCAGATCATGTTTGTGGTAAAAATTTGCAATGTCACCGAAAGATGATAGAATAAAGCTTTGTGGTTTGGTAGATGAAAGAGATGAGATTTGCATAAAGTTGGTTTGGTACGACTATTTTCTAGAAAGGAAATATTAGAAATGAAAACATGTGATAGAAGAGTGACAGATTAATTTGACAGGAAGTTGTTGGAAATCAGATTTTAACAAAGCTACAAAATAAGTGGAGGAATGTGTGTTTATTCGATTAATCAGTGACTAATATATAGTCATCTTACAAGCAAAAGGAAATAACCAACTCTACTCTTTACATGCCTACAGAGTAGTAAAATAAATAACAAACTTTATTTCTCCTAAAGAATAGGTCTTATTCAAACAAACTAATAAAACAGTAGACTAAAACAAATACTAAAACACTAATACGTGTCCACCTAACATTCCCTCCCTTAAACTAAAACACATGTATTTTAGTTTAACTTCGACGCACTAACCATTCCAAGCATACCACGAAGTTTTTCAAACTGTTCAAGTTTGAGTGGTTTTGTCATCAAGTCTGCTACTTGCTCCTGCGAGTTGCAGTACTTTAATTCTACAACACCTTCATTCACTAAATCTCTTAAAAAATGAAACCGCACATGAATATGCTTACTTTTTCCGTGAAAAATCGGATTCTTAGCCAACTGAATGGCAGAGCTGCTGTCACATTAAATTATAGTTTCTTCAACCTGCTCCACTCCAATCTTTCTCAAGATTCTCTTTAGCCATATACACTGACAAGCACATAGAGCTGCTGCGATATATTCGGCCTTGGTAGTTGATAAAGTCACTACAGACTGTTTTTTTGACGACCAGGATACAACTCCAGATCCTATCATGAACACATATCCAGATGTACTTCTTCTATCATCAAGATCACCCGCATAGCCACTATCTGTGAATGCCAAGAGTTTTGATCAACCTTCATTCTTTGTGTTGAAAATGCC